AGAAATGTTTCTTGAGCAGCAAATCAGCATATTAGAATGATTTCTGAAGAATCATTTGACCCTGAAGACTGGAGTAATGATGCTGAAAACACAACATAATAAATTACATTTAGAAAACATTTATTTAAACTGTAATGAAAATGTCACAATATTACTACTTTGACAGTATTTATGATAAAACTAATGCAGCTCCATACACACTGCCGTTCAAAAGTTTGGGATCAGAACGACTTATGTTTTTTAAAGAAGTCTCTTCTGCTCATCACGGCTGCATTTATTTGATCAAAAATACAGGAAAAAATTTAATATTGTGAAATATTATTATGATGTAAAATAACGTTGTTGTTTTTCTATTTTAATATACATTAAAATTGAATTTATTCCTGTGATGCAAAGCTGAATTTTCAGCATCAATACTCCAGTCTTCAGTGTCACATGATCCTTCAGAAATCATTCTAATATGCTGATTTATTATCAGTGATGGAAACGGTTGTGCTGCTTAATATTTTTTTGGAACCTGTGATACTTTTTTTCAGGATTCTTTGATGAATAAAAAGTTAAAAAGAAGAGCATTTATTTAAAATAGAAATCTTTTCTTACAATATACACTACAGTTCAAAAGTTTGGGGACAGTAAATTTTTATTCTTTCTTTTTTTGAAAGAAATTAAAACTTTTATTCAGCAAGGATGTGTTAAATTGTTAAGAAGTGATAGCAAAGATTTATATTGTTAGAAAAGATTTATATTTGGAATAAATGCTGTTCTTTTTAACTTTTTATTCATGAAAGAATCTTGAAAAAAGTATGTTTCCAAAAAAATAAAAAGCAGCACAACTGTTGCCAACATTGATCATTCTAATAATAAATCAGCATATTAGAATGAGGATCATGTGACACTTTATACTGGAGCAATGGCTGATGGAAATTCAGCTTTGCATCACAGAAATAAATTATATTTTAAAGGATATTAAAATAGAAGCCATTATTTTATATTGTAATAACATTTTGCAAGATTACTGTTTTATCTGTATTTTTGATCAAATAAATGCAGCCTTGATGAGCAGAAGAGACTTCTTTAAAAAACATTACAAGCCTTACTGATCCCAAACTTTTGAACGGTAGTGTATCTATGTGTATGTGTGAGCGTGTGTCGTCCAGATAAAACCTACGTTGTGAGGACCAAATGTCCCTACAATGATAGTAAAACCTGACAATTTTGACCTTGTACATCATACTAAATAGTGAAAAAATGCAGAAAGTTTTCTGTGAGGCTTGTGTTTAGGGTTAGGGTTATTTGTACAGTATAAAAAGAATTATGTCTATAAAAAGTCCCCACAAACATAAACCAACGTGTGTGTGTGTTTTACATACACAAGGAGCAGTTGTGTGTGTTCATGTCAACAGTGTGTGACAGCAGCAGCATTGTCTTTTCCCCAGCGTCTGAAGCAGGACGTACAATAGAAGAGGACATTGCTGATTCAAATGGCTCTGGGGTTGTTTTATTTGCGTTGTTTGAGTGTCACGAGGGCCCTTTGATTCCGTTAACACGTTTCACAGACGTCAATACGGCTGTGTCTCTGGAGCTCAGCGTGAACGGCAGCGCTGCTTCATTCAGCCCGCGATCGATCAGCGCCGAGATCCAATCAGCTAATGAACGTCACTCAGGAGGAGAGCCAGTGAGAGATTCGAGTCATTACGGCCTCTGATAAACATCAGTGATGGCTGAAAAAATCGAATCAAAGCTGCTCTCCTCCCTCGCCACACCAAACTAATCACTGGCTTTTTAATTAAGTGTGAGAGAACGTGAATGAGAGAGATTGGTCCATCATTGACGCTGGGGACAAACCTCTGTCACACACAGAGAAGCTTTCCTTCCTAACAGAGGTCAGAGTCCAGTGTCAAATTAGCTGGGTTTTATCTGTCACTTTTCATTCATCTGCTTCAACATCTCAGAGGCAGTTATTTAGCTGATTAGTTCTATTTATTTAGATATTTGGAAGTTTTTTTAAAATATAGTTAAGCGATTAATTCGATTATTTTTATTTACTTAGCTAGATAGTATTTAAATTATTTGGCTATTTAGTTACTGCACTGGCAAGTTGTTTTAGTTATATAGCTAGGGATTTAGGTTATTATGTGGTTATTATCAGATTAGGAGATTAGTCGTTTGTTTAGATATTTAGGTGATTGTTAGTTAGCTGATAATTTACTTCAGTTGTTTTGTATTTCTTATTTAGCTGATTAGTAGTTTAGTTAATTAAAGGATTAGTTGTTTAGTTATTCAACTGATTTAGTTGTTTATTTACATAGTTAGGTATTTGGTTATTTATTGAACTATTTAGCGGATTATTTACTTATATAGGTGTTTCCTATTCTCATTTAGCTGATTAGTGTTAATTAGCTCTTTACTTGCATGACAATTTGCTTTAGTTGTTTATTGATTTGAATTAGTTGTTTATTGTTTATTTAGATAATTATGTAATTGGTCGTAATTAGCTGATTATTTAGGTGTTGATTTGTTGTTTTCAGAATTTGTTGTTTATTTAGATAATTATGTGATTAGTTGTTTATTTAGTTTGTTTCTCTTATTTGTTGTTTAGGAGATCATTGGTTTTGTATTACTCATTTAGCTGATTATTGGTTTCATCAGTTAATTAAGTTATTTGTAGTTTTGTTATTTAGTTGATTCACTTACTTAAATGATTATTTGTTTATTTAGTTGTTTAGGAAATAGTTTGTTTAGATATTTATGTGATTGGTTATTTATTTAGTTTGTTTATCCTATTGGTTGTTTAGGACATTCGTTGTTTAATTATATTTATGTGATTGGTTATTTATTTAGCTATTTATCTGATTTACTTATTTAGATGTTTAGTATTACTTGTTTAGTTGATAAGTACTTAGCTGATAAGTTGTTTTAGTCATCTGATTATTTACTTATTTAGGTCATGATTAGTTTATTTAGTTGTTTAGGGAATTAGTTGTTTGTTTAGACAGTTATGTGATTGGTTATTTATATTGGTTTGTTTATCTTATTAGTTGTTTAGAAAATTAGATATTTAGGTGATAGGTTATTTATTTAACTATTTGGCTGATCATTTATTTTTAGTTATTTAACTGATTATGTACTTATTTAGTTGTTTATTTACATATTTAGGTATTTGGTTATTTATTGAACTATTTAGCTGATTATTTACTTATATGGGTGTTTGCTTTATTTGTGTAGTAGTTTAATTAGTTATCTAAGTTGTTTATTTTTAATATTTAGGTACTTTTATTATTTCTTTAGCCAATTACATGAATCATAGGTTTATTTAGTTAGTTGTTTTTTAAAGAGATGGTTATCTGACCAGTCACTCCATCACTCCTGCAGGTTTCTCCAGCCTCTGTCTGTCCGATCAGATGAGTCTCCTGCAGAGCGCGTGGATGGAGATCCTCATCCTGCGTGTGGCTTTCCGCTCGCTGCCCTGCGAGGACAAACTGGTGTTTGCGGAGGATTACATCATGGATGCTGAACAGGCCAAATCAGCAGGTCTGCTGGAGCTCCACAAGGCCATATTACAGCTGGTGCGCAGGTACAGGTCCATGAGGCTGGAGAGAGAAGAGTTTGTCACTCTGAAAGCCATTGCTCTCGCCAACTCAGGTAAAGATACAGATACTTGCGCAGAACATTTCTGCATGGACCATTTAAAGGAATAGACTAAAATAGCCTTGATGCTGGCATGGCGTTAAAAAGTGAATAAATAAATAAATAAAATAAAGGGATAGTTCACTTAAAAATGGAAGTTTCTGAAAATCTACTCACCCTCAGGCCATCCAAGATGCGGTGGCGTTGTCCACAAGGGTGGCACGGGGTGGCAACTGCCACCCTTAAAATGAGCTTTGCCACCCCAGTTGCCACCCCAAAGCAGCGTATGGGATCGAAGTGCATTGAGAGCGGAGCAGCGTAATTTTAACTGAAGCAGGGATCTTTTGAAAGTCGGAGAATTCTGGTTTGTGCTCCACTACCGCTCAATCACTAGCACAATTAATGCCATAACTATAGCCGTTCTAAACTAGTTCTGCCTACAAGGATTGTACTGCAAACACACATGTACAGACACATAACAGATCACTCACACACAGAAACAAAAAATATTGTCAACGCTGCCCTGTGATTTGTCAAAAAAAATGCTTAGAAACAGAAAAGTTATAGCGAAAATTTCTTTGTGTTTTGAAGTAATCAAAATACACAGCTTCACTATTAGTAGAGAGACAGACACGGTCTCAGTCTGTTGCACAGACAGGCAGGACTAATTTACACGTAATCGCGCTCTCACAAATGCATTCAAATAAATAATTTTACTGTGCTTCTATGTATCTGATTTAATAACCGATAAAATAACAGAAGAAAATGTAGCCTACTATTATTTCATCCTTCCAAACAAAATTCGCACTTCAAAAAGCTGCAATGACAGATTTAACTTTTAATTCTGATAACCTTAATGTGTGTGAAATGTGTGAAAATAACACATTCTTTTTTTTTGTTATTATCATCATCATTATTATTATAATTATTAGCCTACTATTCATTCATTCATTAATTTGGTCTTGTCTGATCTGCTCAAGGGCTCTTACGTTTACATAGGCTACTTTTATCCAGAGAAAACTGCACTGCATTTAACATACAGGCCTACATTTTTCGATCGAACCCATGATTCTGATGAGCAACATTTTACACATTTCTTTAATAAAAGTTTATAAATCAACAAAAAACCTTCTTTGTTTATATTTTGATTTTGTTGTTTAGAATTTTAAATGAGCTCAAATATTATTATCAAGTAACTACATAAATCACTCACCCTTTGATTAACTATACATAAGGGAGTGGAAACGGCAAGTGAATACATGAATCAGTGATCCTCTGCAGCCATCTACTGGTCATAGTGGTAATGTCATGTCATGTTCATTTTATAAGTGTTTGTTTTCAACTAGGTAGCAGTAATCTTCTGCTTAATGAATAAATATATAAATAAATATGCAGATCTTCTTTAATGTGAATTTTACATCATGTTTACATTTTGTGTAAATATATACAAAAATATGCATAATTAAAAAAATTTAAAAAAGAACATAAATCTTTTATGTTTTATAACTGCTTAACTACAGTGTGACCAATATATGGCCATCATATCGGTGGATTTGTTGAAAATGTCCTCACCCTCAGGCCATCCAAGATGTAGATGAGTTTGTTTCTTCAATGGAACAGATTTGGAGAAATGTAGCATTCCATAATTTGTTCACCAATAGATGCTCTGCAGTGAATGGGTGCCGTCAGAATGAGAGTCCAAACAGCTGATAAAAACATCACAATAATCCACAAGCAATCCACACCACTCCAGTCCATCAATTACGTCTTATAAGTGCACTTATAAGACAATTATGTCTTATGGCTGCCCACTGCTCCGGTGTGTGTATTCACTTCTGTGTGTGTGCACTTGGATGGGTTAAATGCAGAGCACGAATTCAGAGTATGGGTCACCATACTTGGCCACACGTCACTCACTTCACTTCACTTAAAGTGAAAAGCTGCATGTTCCTAAAAAACAAATACATAATTAAGGTGAAAATAGGAGTCCTCTATCCATAATATTGCTTCCTCCAGTGAAAAAGTCATCTTGTCTGAATCAGGAGAGAAATATGCACAGATCAAGAACAAACTAAAACAGTCCAAAAAATTCCTAAACAAATATGTTAGTAGGTTTTGATCTGAAAATACATCAGGGGATGGGCATCTTCACTGGATGAAGCTTTATTACGGATTATGGACTGGAATTTTTGGCCAGAAGTTTGAAGTTAAAAACTTCTTGATGGATTTGTTTCTTACAAACATGCAGCTTTTCACTTCACAAGATGTTAACTGGTGGACTGGAGTGGTGTGGATTATTGTGATGTTTTTATCAGCTGTTTGGACTCTCATTCTGACGGCACCCATTCACTGCAGAGGATCCATTGGTGAGTAAGTGAAGTAATGCTACATTTCTACAAATCTGTTCCCATGAAGAAACAAATTCATCTACATCTTGGATTACCTGAGGTTGAGCAAATTTTCATTATTGGGTGAACTATTCTTTTAAATGAATGTCAGTGCAAAAATGGCTAATAGCAACTTTAACACATGCATTATTTACAGTCAATATTTTGGAATGAAATGCAGCAAAAGCATCCAGAATTCAGAGACCTGAAAGACCTGATGTTTTGATTCCCTCTCTCAGACTCAATGCATATAGAGGACGTGAAGGCCGTTCAGGGTCTGCAGGACTCTCTCCATGAAGCTCTTCTGGATTACGAGTGTGTCCATCACAGGGAAGACCCTCGACGGACAGGGAAACTCGTCATGACCCTTCCACTCCTCCGCCAGACCTCCGCCAAAGCCGTGCGGCACTTCTGCAGCATCAAGCAGGACGGACGCGTCCCCATGCACAAACTCTTCCTGGAACTTCTGGAGGCAAATGTCTGATCCTTTACCTGATTGGACCATCAAACAGAGGTGACACGCCCCTCCTGCACACGATTGGATGAAGGATTATTCACGAATCCAGGGAAAACCACAGGCGCTTGTCATTGTCATGACACATAACAATAATACAGCATATTCTCAGACAAATACAGTTTGTTTTATATAGTTGAGGATGATAGATAAATAAAAAATGAAGTATCCAATATACAGTACTGTTCAAAAGTTTTTTTTTTTTAGGAAATTAATAATTTTATTCAGCAAGGATGCATTAAATTGATCAAAAGTGACAGTAAAGACATTTATAATGCTACAAAAGATTTAGATTTCCGTTCTTTTGAACTTTCTATTCATCAAAGAATCCAAAATGTGTTATGGCTTCCACAAAAATATGTTTCTTGAGCTGCAAATCAGCATATTAGAATGATTTCTTAAGGATCACGTGACACTGAAATAGTGTTGCTGAAAATTCAACGTTGATCACAAGAATAAATTACATTTTTAAATATATTCAGATACAAAACAGTTATTTTAAATTGTAATAATATTTCACAATATTACAGATTTTTCTGTATTTTTGATCAAATAAATGCAGCCTTGGTGAGCATAAAATACTTTTTTCAAAAACAAGTCACACCGAGCCCAAACATTTATGAGTGAGAGCTAGATGTGAATAAATATCGTTAAATTATTGGAGAAACTACATCTCAAGCTTGAAGGTGTTCATTGTTTGCATTTTATTTAAATTAAACAAATATTTTATTTATTTATTTTTTTATATATCAGTTTTCACAAGAGCTTCATCACAGTAGAGAGTGTCAGCCTTGCCAAATAATAGTAGTCAGTAATTGCTCTCCTCACACAGATATGAAGAAAAAAGTGTTAACATCTACTACAGAATTTAAGTTAAAAGGGCTCAGAGGTGCAGTCTAGACATAAATATAATGCATAGATGAACAGCAATTAAGTGTAGAAACATCAGAGGCATACCAAAGCACCTTTATTAAAAAAGTGACCTGAATAGCATAATAGATAACGTACTAATGAAGGATTTTTTTGGTCTCCAGATGCTTATTTAGATCTGCACAACTAAAGCTGATTGCAGCTTTTATTTATTCCATAATCAATTGCCATGTTTTTTTCCCAAACTGGAAGGTTCTTGCTCAGTCAGTGACAGAAATGAAAAGCCATAGCAATATCTGTTTTTAGCAATAAAGTATCTTCTGAAGCAATAACTGAATGTTTTAACAGTACATTTGATTTACTGATTTACTTTTTATCTCACAATTCAGATTTTTTTCCCCTGCAATTCTGACTGTTTTTCAGAATTGCATCACATTAGCTCGCAATTGCATGTGGAAAAGTCTAAATTGCAAAGTATAAACTTGGAAAAGTAGTGACTTTTATCAAAACTGGACCGTATAACTTGACATTGCGAGTTTATTTCTCATGATTCTGAGAAATAAAGTATAAACTTAAAGGGTTAGTTCACCCAAAAATGAAAATTAGCCCATAAATTACTCACCTTCAAGGCATCCTAGGTGTATATGACTTTCTTCTTTCAGACGAATCCAGTCAGAGTTGTATTAAAAATTGTCTTTGATCTTTCAAGCTGTTTAATGCCACTCAGCGGGTGTTGCAGTGCTTCAGTCCAAAAGAAGTGAAATAAAGCGCATCCATTCATAATAAAGTGTCTCACACGGCTCGGGGGGTGAACAAAGTCCTCCTGTAGCGAATCGATGCGTTTTTGTAAGAAAAATAACCATATTTAAAACGTAATAATCAATTGAATCTAGCTTGTGCTCACTGTTGTACATTGGAAGCAGCTCCGGGCGGATGACGTATGAGGTCAGCTTTGCGCATGCGCCGCTCAGAAGTGACGAACACGGAAGTGCAGCGGAGAGATCAAAACAAAACAATGGTCACGAATTAGAAGTACAAAACGAGGATTTGTAAAGAGGAATGTCTGAGGATTTTGATATAAACCAAGAGGAGACTGGTTTTCTTTTGCTAAAGTAAGGAAACTTGGCTTCCTTTGCTCCTTTGTAAACAAACGTTTGTTTTCACGAGACTCACCGGCACATGCGCAACACCGACATCTTACGTCATCCTCCTGGAGCTGCTTCCGTGTACAACTCTTGGTGCAAGCTAGATTAAAGTGATTATTACGTTTTAAATATGGGTATTGTTCTTACAAAAACACATCGATTCGCTACAGGAGGCCTTTGTTCACCCCCCGGAGCCGTGTGAGGCACTTTTTTTTTATGGATGGGCGCATTTTATTTAACTGCTTTTGGACTGATGCACTGCAACACCCGCTGACTGCCATTAAAACAGTTTGGAAGATCAAAGACAATTTTTAATAAAACTCTGACTGGATTCGTCTGAAAGAAGAAAGTCATATACACTTAGGATGCCTCGAGGGCGAGTAATTTATGGGCTAATTTTAATTTTTGGGTGAACTAACCCTTTAATATAAATATCTCGTAATTCTGACTTTATTTGACAGAATTACATCTTTTTATCTTGCAGTTCTTTTTTCTCACAAATGTGAGTTTATATCTCACAATTCTGGGAGAGAAGTCAGACTTGTGAGATAAAATTTTTTTTAAGAAATAAGAAAAGAAAATAAGAAAACCTTTCTTATTTTTTTTATCCTGTGGCGGAAACGGGCTTTTTGATGTTCAGATAATACATTTAATATGTTTACGGTAACAAAGGAAACAGTAGATACAAGATCCAAGCATCTATGTGAGATACAGAGAAATGTGTCTGTAAATATGAATAACAGAGCAGACTGATCTCTACTGTGTGTGATAGTCACATCTGACACGTTCTTCCTTCAGTCTCTGTGAGGAATTCTGCCCGTGTTATTTACCGTTCTGTGTGTGTTTTTCACCATTTCTGCTTGTGAAGGTTTGTGGATGTTGTACGACACTTAATTTTGTCTCCTCAGTATCTGTTTGATTATATGCAATAACTTTTTTTTATTTAAATAAATGTAAAAAATGACAAATATGTTCAACAATAATGCATTAAACAGTGGACTTCACTTTTGTTCTGGCGTGTGTTTTTCATCTGTGATTTGAAGACTTGAGATGTTTTTTTCCAGCAGGAATTAAAACACTTCTGTTTGGAAAGCAAACACCGGTCAGGGTTATATTCACAAAAATTATTCAGCTTATGAGCTGCATCACGTTCATTTGTGTTCAAACACAAAATGTCAAATTATTTATTAGATTATGGAAGTCTGATCGTTTTCTTTTGAAATCAAGAACTGCATGATAAATATAAATAAACATACACAAGCATATATCTGACTTCAAACACGGAGATTAGTAAATATTCATGTACCGTAAAATTAATTAAAATAAATAATTACTTTGTGTTAGATATCATGGATCTGGTGTGTTTTGGCTATGCGCCATGGTGTTAATAGAGTATTTTAGGTGGTTACCAGGGTATTCTGGGTAGTTAACTGGTCTGTTGATCCGTCTCAAGTTCCTCTCAGTGTATTTGTGTAGGACTTTTTTCTCTGAGAAAATTAGATCATTGTAATGGCTGTTGTAGCTTTACGTCTATGAATAATCAAGCTAATCGATGCAGATAAATTAGCAGGCTGTCAGATTCTCCACCTGCATAATTTCACAGGCCGTCAGAAACCATCAACACATTAGTGTCTCCTCACTGAGAGATGCCACGCGAGTCATTAATGAGGCTCGGATAAAAGTTGCTTACACTGGAAGAACCCTGCTAACAGAATGTGTGTGTGTTGAGCTTGCAGGACAGATCCTGCTCTGAATTTCCGAGACTCACTATCTTTTTGTAGTCTGGATATTTTTTATATTTTATGAAGACTTTCAGTTGTTCATGTCTGTTCAAAACTTACCGCTTTTAACCTTTTTCAGGCCCGGGACCCTGTTTGGACAAAAAGGTAGCCTCGTGAAATGTAAAATTTAGTGTTTTAAGCGTGGCTTATAATAACAAATATGACATAATACTGTATAAAGTGTTTAAATTATTATGACACTTGCAATGCAATAACAATACACTGAGATGGACACTTGTAAAATAACATTGGTTGAAGTTAATTTTTTTTATAAAGTAGTAGGCTATTTTGCATAAATTGAAGTTTATTTTTAAGCGTATACAGGCCTACACACACACACACACACACACACACACACACACACACAGCAATGCTTAATTTTGTTCAGTCTGTGGTGTAAAAAGGTCGCATTAGCAATTAAAGAAAAGCACTTAAGCAAAACACGGTCAGGTCAAAGTGTCTGATTAATTTTTGGTCCCAAATTTTTATCAATTTTACTGGTAGTCCACTGTATGAAGAATTTTTGGGTATAATATGTCACAGTTTACTTTATTTTGCTATCCTCACTTACATAAATGAACTGTAGTGTCCTGCACCCACTAGTTAAAAAATATATTAAAAAAATGATACCTGGTGTCTGAATAATTTTTGGTTTTACTATATATATATTTATAGAATTCAACGCATATCTACATGCATAAATAATTTTAAACACTGCACTATTACATGAAAATAAGACCCACTTTAGGGTCTCTTGCTAACGTTTTGGCCTAAAAATTAGACTTAATTATCCTGAGTGTGTGTATATATATAATGTGTGTGTGTGTAATATATCCTATACACACTCAGGATAATGAAATCGGTGTGTAATTTTTAGGCCAAAACTTTAGCAAGAGACCCTAAAGTGGGTCTTATTTTCATGTAATAGTGCAGTGTTTAAAATGATTTATGCGTGTAGGTCATTATTTTTACTCGTAAATCGAAAACCGTTGTTCTAAAAGCCGAACATTGCTGGTTGATTTAGCAAACCGCACTGCTGAGAGGAGAGGAGCTCATAGTGCTGCTTTCTGTTTCTGTCAGGCTGTAAGTGAGTCAGTCTGTGATTAATTACATCTGCAGATGATTTTATCCCGGAGTGCATTAATTCACTAATAAAGCCTCGATGTCTCAAACGCAGCCGGGCGAAACATGAATGCTGAGCAGTGAATTAATGGATTAGCATTTCAGCGTCATGATAAACGAAATCCGCTCGGTTTGATATAGGCCTAGTGAGCGTCAGGAACTGACTCATCCAGTGGCTTCATATATCTGATCATGTGTCAGCAGATTGATTATGTCTCA